AAATGTTTGGTTTAAGATTTAAAATGTCAGGTTTAAGACTTTAAATCTCAGATTTAAGATATAAAATGTCAGGTTTAAGACTTTAAATCTCAGATTTAAGATTTAAAATGTCAGGTTTAAGACTTTAAATCTCAGATTTAAGACATTAAATATCAGGTTTAAGACTCTTAATGTCTGGTATAGGACACTAAATCCTAGGATTAAGACTTACATGTCATGTTTAAGCATTTTAAATGTCAGGTTAAAGACTTTAAACGTAATTTTTCATTGGTTTAATCTCAGGTTTAAGTCTTGGATAAAGGTTAAGTGTGTGTACCTGTGTCCTCCTGCAGCAGGACAGCGATGTAAAGGTACTTCCCCACCAGACTATTGAGGTCTTTGGGTCCATCGTGTTTTGAGAGGACCTTCTCCATGTTCACGGTCACGTCCACTTCACCTTTAGACGACAACTGAAGGACACAGAAACTGAAAGGTAAAGATGTATCCGTGCTGTTCATGAGAAGTGAAGAAGTAGACATAGAGAATGAAATCTGTCCGTATCAGAAAGTGTTGTTTGTTTTATTTTGCCCTGAGTCGTGTCTTTAAGGCTGCATTCAGCCACAACAAGATTATTATTATGAAAGATTATTCTAAAAAGAAAAACTTGATGAACATTATATTTGTATAAGCTCTTCTCACTTTTACACAAACATGGACTTTCAAAGATGATCAAATTGGAAATGATGGCCATGAAAAAGGTAAAAAATATGTTTGTGTTCTTAAATAAGAATATCAGAGAAGTATATGAACTGTATTGAACCTTAGGTGTTGTATTGACAACATATTTCCCAGTGATGTTTATATTAAGACTTTATATATTTACAATCTCTTTTCTGATGGAGCTTGGGATGATAACTGGAGGAGTCTTTCCGCTAACGTAGCCGTAGCGGAGGTACATTTCCCCGTTAGCCACCGGAGCTCCGTGGACGTACCTGAGGGAAACACCTTTAATCTCATTTACACATTTAAGTGGTTTTGAGTTCTGGATATCTGAAACGTGATGTCAGCTGTTTCTTCACCTGGCTGAGACCTTGAAGCTGAAACGGTTGAAGCTTGCGTAGCTAACGTAGTTAGCTTCTGGTTCCACGTGGATGTAGAAACTGGGAAGAACTGACACAGCACAGTTAATAATTCACATTTTACTCTAATTATGCTGAACTTTAGACCAGCTGTTTGGTTAAAGTCATATCTGAATAAGTTGTTACCATATTCTTTAACTTCAAAGTCAGCTCTCGCTGTTGTAGTGAAATCATCAGCGTAAGAGGCTTCAATGGTCCAAATCCCCAACCTGGAATCACATTAATAACATTATAAACAGCCTGGAATCACATTAATAACAGTATAAACAGCCTGGAATCACATTAATAACATTATAAACAGCCTGGAATCACATTAATAACATTATAAACAGCCTGGAATCACATTAATAACAGTATAAACAGTCAGGAATCACATTAATAACAGTATAAACAGTCAGGAATCACATTCATAACATTATAAACAGTCAGGAATCACATTCATAACATTATAAACAGTCAGGAATCACATTCATAACATTATAAACAGCCTGGAATCACATTAATGAAATTATAAACAGCCAGGCTGTCTAAAGGTCTTACTTTGGTTTAATGGGGATCTTGAATGGGTTTTGCATCGACGGGATTCCATTGTTCATATCGATCATCTCCACTATGTCCACTGTGGTCTTATTGACTTTGAAATCAACGTGATGCTGAAGGTCATCACACTCACCTTGAAGGTCAGGAAGACGCTGCGATTGGCCGGCCTCAGCTCCTCGTTCAGGGAGAACGCCCTCAATTTGACTGTAAAACAGACACACACAAATACACACATATACACAAAAACACACACATACACACACACACACACATATATACACACACACATAACACACACACATATATTGATATAATTTTCATTAACTAGAAGCTTAAAAAATGACATATAAACGATTTATCAAATATCAGGAGAGATGTAAGAAGTATTCAGGCCCTTTACTGCAGTAAAAGTACTAATACACACTGTGGAAATACTCCACTAAGTACCTTGATTGTGTACATAAGCACAGTCCTTGAGTATATGTACTTAGTAAGAGACACAGAGATTAAACAGTGACTGGTGCAGATGCATTGTGGGAGTTGTAGTTCTAAAGTCTCACCGCTCTGGTGCGGGGTATACAGCGGTTTGTCGGTCTGGACAAACAGGAAGCCGTTGGTGTGGCTGACAGAGACAGACAGGTGCTGGTTGATCTCTGCTGATTGGATGTGCAGAGTCACATGACTCACGCTCTTACCCAGCTGATCTGGGTGCAGCTGTGAGAGAGACAGGAAGATACCTCATGATATTAACACGCCTCCTGAGATAAAGTCCTGGCAACTTCACCGGCATGCGTCACGTCTCACCTGGACTTTGGCGGCGGCTTGGTGGTGGTTCTGAGCGTTAAGAGTCACGACCTCCTGAGCCAGAACCACGTGATCCGGAGCCATAGAGGTCTTCAAGAACACGTAGACCGTCACCTCGTCAGTGAAACCGAACAGCTGCAGCAATACCGTCTCCACGGCATCAAGACGCAGAGAGAGAGGAGCCGTGATCAGATACCTGAGGGGGGAGGATACACCTTTACTCCTCTTAACATCACATTACAGTCATTCAGCAGACGCTTTTATCCAGAGCGACTTACAATTCAGATTCTATCACATTTATACACCGTAGGCACAACTACGGGAGACATTTGCTAGGGTAACCCTAACCCTATATACAGGGATGGGTCATGTGTATATGACAATAAAAATGGTTTCTTCTTCATTTTGGGGTTAAGTGTGTTGCTCAAGGACACATCGACATGCGAGTAGTGGAGCCGGAGATCGAACCGCTGATTCTCTGAATGAAGGACGGCCCTGCTCTCCACTTAGCCACAGTCACCAGTTAACAGTATAGTACTTTATTATTTGTATTATTATGTTACGTTATTATTGTTATTATTTTTACTTTATTATTGTTGTTACTCAGAGGTGGGCCGTCAGGGCCTTCAAGGCCTTCTCTGCTGGCCTAGACACAATCACAATGTTATAGATAGTTTATAATTTAATATTTTTTCTTCAATACACTACATGTATTATAATATATAATAATATTTCCCCATTATCTTATGTTCTCATTGCACAGCTCCTGTCTTCCTCAGTTTTTTTTAGCTTGTTTTAAGTAGAGCTTTTATCCAATCAGATCTCACCTCTGTGTCTCTAGGTAAGAACAGAGGCAGAGGCCTGCAGACTCACAAGTGCATCCATGTGCAGTTTAAGTGAATGGGGACGATGTTGTTGATTGTCATAGTGTTCAACCATTCAGATCTTTAGTTTGACACATTTAGCCGGTGCCAGTGTTGCCAACTTGGCGACTTTCTCGCTAAAT